GCCGTGCCATTGAAAAATCATCATTATCATCATCATTATGATTTTCCCACACCTAGCTGAAAAAAGAAATATGTGAAATGATGTGAAAGACGTGAAAAGAACTCGTGCGAGCTTAAGAGAGCGAGGTCCAAATTTATGCGCCGCAAAATACAAAAGTTGAAATATTTTTATTTATGAGGAAAACAACCTGCACATTATCAACTAGAGCAAGAAGAACTTGAAATTCATTCATATTGTTGTTTTCATTTCTATATATATTATATATAAAATTTGGTTAAATTCTAAAAGAAATTCGTTCAAAAGGTGCGACAATGCGGAACAGCCGAAGCAATAACCAAGGGGAGGTTATTCTATATTATATGTGATATATACAGAAAACAGAGCAGTAGCAATTATATATATAAATATGTATACCGGCTATACACCCACATAAAACTACATAAACAGCGGCAGCAGTAAAACTTAATTATATTTGTTTATCAATTTTGATTTGTTTGGTTTAATCTGAACAATAAACGGATATATAAAACAAGTGCTATATAAAGTCGATGAGTTATACGCTCTATGGGGCGCTAATTGAACCGTTAACTAGGTGGTATACATACATATATACATACATAAATATAATAGATCCAAACTCGCACAGCATCCAACAATCTCAAACCCTCTCACTCTTACTCAATTATACAGTTATGTGCGTTCAAGATCAATGTCAATTTGTAAACACACGCAATATACATAATATATATATTCTATATATATGTACAACTATAATATATATATAGAGAGAGAGAATAATTGTATATATAGCGCATATTGAAGGCTGTACTAATTGTGTATATTTCAAAGTTGGCGTCAAACAATTTTGTTTGATTATGCTCGCTCAACGAGCAGACTGGGGTATATCGGTTTTGTAAACTTAGGGAGATTTTATTTTTAAATATAACTACATATATCCATATTGAATGAAGTGTTTTGTATTCTCTTTCTAGATAAAGCTCTTTAAATATCTTTATAATAAATTTAGCGAGTATTATGCAGTTGTTTGCGGTTGGCCATTGGCGCTTTGCCAATATAATTAATAACTATATTTTAACAATAGCTCTGACTTAATAACACTCAAGTAGATGCAATATATATTCTGTTTGCACCATATAATAAATGAGATCAGTTTTATCACTAGCCATATAACACACAAACATTTGTTCCACATGTCCACTCTATATGGTTAGTGATTTTATCGACTTCCATATAATTTATTATGTAGTTTAAATAGTATACATTGCATTTGCTTTATACATTGCCATCATAGTTATTTAGTATTGATTTATGGGCCATAGTCAGCTAGATTTACAAAGTAAAACATATTAAGTTAAAATTTTAAAAATAAATTAAAAAAAAGTCGTTTGTATTTAGAATTTTTGTACTAAATTCATAATCGATGCATTTGTTTAAATAATAGATAAGTAAAACAAAAAATAAATGTAATAATCAAAATTTTCAATAGACTCCCACTATATTCAGTTTAGGTTTAGCTTTCTATAACTTTCTCAAATTAGATTTTCCTAATCAAAATTTCCTTATATATTTAAAAATATCGTAATTGCAAAATGAAAGTTGTAAGATTCCAATTTGTCATTGGCAACGTAAGAGAATAAATAGAATAATAAATGCATTTGATTACGTATACGCAACATGTGCCCCTTTTCTTACATTACCTATTCGTGTGTAGTTGTTTATGTGTCACCAAATGGCCATGAAGAAGGAGGCCCAAGACAAACAGAAAGCGGAGCAACGCCGTAAGGCCCAATCCGTCGTAAGTAGCCCCACAACATATAGACGCCAATTATATATGTATATTACGATATCTATATTGATGTATATCGCATGCGATGTGGCGGCTGATCAAAAAGAGATTAAAAACTAAAATAAAAAATAAAAAAAAAACAAAAAAAGAGAACCAATTCTAAATCAAAGATAATGTTCTTGAAACTCTGCTCGAATTAACTCGACTAAGGCTTTCGTCCGACCAGTGTACACTAACCTGGCTAATTGCAATTGCTCGCCGTTGGCTCTTTGTGTCCTACTAATCAATCCCGCTTTTGCTGCTCTCTTACAGTCTGATATACCCATCATTTGGATTCTGGGCGGCCCCGGCTGCGGCAAGGGCACCCAATGCGCCAAGATCGTGGAGAAATACGGTTTCACACACTTGAGCAGCGGCGATTTGCTCAGGGATGAGGTGAGTTGAGACAGCCTGGAACAGCCTGGGATTGCTATGCTAATAACTCTCTCTTCTCTCAACTTGCTCTGCCAGGTCGCCTCTGGCTCCGACAAGGGACGCGAGCTGCAGGAGCTGATGGTCAGTGGCGCTTTGGTGCCCAATGCGGAGGTCCTTTCGCTGCTAAATGCAGCCATTACCCGGGCCAAGGGCGCCTCGAAGGGCTTCTTGATCGATGGCTATCCGCGCGAGAAGAATCAGGGCATTGAATTCGAGGCACAAATCGCGCCCGCCGATCTGGCCATCTACTTCGACTGCTCGGAGGAAACGATGCTCAAGCGCATCCTGGCACGCGCCGCCGCTGCCACAGTGAAGCGCGCCGACGACAACGAGGCGACCATCCGCTCCCGCTTGCAGACCTTCAAGCGCAACACGAGCGACATCCTCGCACTCTATGAGGAGAAGACGCTGACGGTAAGCAGATCACCCTCTGACTGTATATACATACATACATACATACATTCCCTCTATATATTCTGTTCCGCTGCAGATCAATGCTGAGCGCGATGTGGAGGACATTTTCATGGAGGTCGTCGAGGCCATTGACTGTGTGCTGCAGAAGAAGGAGCGAGAGTCCAAAATTTGTTAACCCAGTGCACAAGAACAACTTTTCTAGCACAAGAATTTGCACCAATGAAAGCTACGCACCAGAATATATTTATATACACAGATATACATATATGTATATATATCGATTTGTGACCTGCTTATGCCAGGCGAAGAGCTTTAGCCGCTTTAAACTATGATAAATACCAAAAGCAAACCAAAAGCAATCCAAATTCTAAGTACTTTACACAATAAAAATTATATGTAAAAAAAAAAATTAAATAAAAAATAATTGAAAACAAATTTGAAAGTATTTCTCATTTAACTCAACTCTTATTAAACAATTGAATTTTTTATTATCATTAATTAATAAAATGCAAATGTGTTTTGTTTCTTTTCTTTTTAAGTTCGAATCACGTTTTTACTAATTAGCTAGTTATATGTAAGTTTTAATAGAGAACTCAAGGGCACACTCGATATACATATGCATCTGTAGTAGAAAACATCACAATTCAATTACCTTGACTTGTGAACAGTTCTCCACGTGCTACTTGGCAAACATCAAGAAAATAACCTGTTTTTTAATAACTGAAACTAAAACTAAAACTAGAGTTATATCATTTATAAATGTGGAGTTGCACCTGTTCAAGTTGAGCTCTTAAAGGATATGACACAAATGACTAATCAGCTCGAGTTAAGCTGGCAGCAGATTGACATCAATTGATAAATCAATGAGTACGTCATCTCCAAAATAAATCCCGATACAGTTCTAGCATGGAATTCGATTGGCATAATTTATGACAGCGCACATAAATAAATTCATATATAAACAAAACTGAAAGTCCGTTTGAGTTTGTTATTCTCGGCCAGCGGAATGGAATGGAATCATCATCATCCGGCTGTTTTATCACGGAACTGCGTCATCTCTGCGTTGAAGTGGGCACAACTGGAGTGGACTTTGAAGTTCTGGCTGATGATCTTTCAATGAACAACTCGACTGTCAAGTGCTAGGCAAATAAACGAACTCTATGTAAAACAGTGTGTGTCAAACGCCACATAAAAATAAAACATTATGTAAAGCTCGCGCGATTTAAACAGTTAGCTGGAGAAATTATCGTATCGGCAACGTAAAAGCTTATTTTCTTCTTATCTCTAGCGATCGCTGATCTTGCGGGAATTCCGTTTGCTTCAAATCACCATGACGAAAATAAACAAGCAAGAGTTTGCTGCTTGGGTATACCTGACTTCAATATACGCTAAGCTTAGTTGATATGAATTTGATTAGTATTCTTCTTACTTTCACTGCGACTGCGACATACCATAATCAGTAACGTTATTGTGATGTTCACCGAGCCCTGCTACACGTCTGCTCTGCAACAAATTAAGAACTCAACTAAGGGACCACAGCTGCAGGCTTGCACTTTTATAGCTGATCAAACGCCACTCAAATGCCTGTTGCAATTTCGTATGCTCAACAGAAAGCTCTCACTTTTATAACTGATGTCGTTCAAGCGCCCTTTGCTTATTTGGTTCTTATGCTCATCTACAAGCTCTCACTTTTATAGCAGACGAAATCCCTGTTATGCTCACTAACACGCTCGTCGTTTTAAAGCTGATACAAAGTTACTCAAGCAGGCTCGTCGTTTTATAGCGGTCTTTGTTTCGCTCTTTTATAGCTAAAGAGGCTCGCCATTTTATAGCTGCTAAAATGTCACTCAAGCACGCTCTGTTAAGTTAGTTCTGCTCTATTGGAAGTTAGTGAGCATATTTGGAGTAATTGGAGTGAAGAGAACAGAATGCATTGAATATGTATTTGCTCAGTATTTGCATAGAGTAATTCATTGAGCTGATTCGACATTTAAACTGAGTAATAGGAATTGAGAGAGAAGAAAGCTGCCTACATAATTTAATTTAGTCTTTATGAGAAATGTGTCTCTTCTGTGTGTTACATTATATTGCACAAAACCAATATACCCTCATCGACGTTAAGCAGGTAAAAGTAATACAAAAATGGGATTTTTTTTTCTTTTTTTTGTTATTGTTGTTTAAAATGTTTTCAACCTTTTTTATTTTTATAGCAACTTTTGGTTTGTTGCTTTCTTTTTGTAGAGGGAAGTTCGCGCTGATCGCAGATTGACGACTTTTGACTTATAATTAGAATAAATAATAGATATTTAAATAGTTATATACTAAAACAAATTCATGCCACAATTTGGAAATTAGCTAAGTGAGAATTGGAGTATTTACAAAATATCACACGTTCTATAAAGCTAGACGATTCAGTCAAAGTTCTGCTCTTCACTGGCCACAGGGCACAGAGCTCTAGACGAGATTGTCATCCCGATAGATGTGATGCTGTTGCTGTGAATGCTGCTGCTGCTTCTGCTGCTGTTGCTGTTGCTGCTGCTTCTGCTGCTGTTGCTGTTGCTGCTGCTTCTGCTGCTGATGTTTGTGACTGCCAATTTTGCTCTCAATCCAGTCCAGGTAGTAGGTGACCCGTGTGAAGCCGCCGGGCACGGTGGTTCGCTCGCAGCCGCCGCCAGCCTCGCCGTCAGCTGGGCCAAAGCTCGTGATGCCCACCAGCGTGTGGGTGCCCTTGAGAACCAGTGGGCCACCCGAGTCGCCGGTGCAGACTGTCTCATCCTTCAATCCTTTCGCACAGAGCACTCCCGAGGTGACGACGTCGTACTCCTCGGCGCACTCCGCATTGGAGATCACCTTCAGCTCGGTGTACTGCATGGCATCCGAGTTGGTCATCTCGACTATGGCACCCCAGCCGCTGGCCACCACGCTCCTGCCCGTGAACTGATCCGCATGCTGTCTGCTGGGCAGAGCAGCGGGTCGAATGCGTGATGTGAATACCACATCCTGTGGCAGCTTGACCAGGGCTATGTCATTGGCCGCCGTCTCCGGATTGAAGCGCTCATGGACGATAAACTTATTCGTGCGCAGCACGAGGCCATTCAGCTGCTCGGTGGCCTCTACGCTGCGGGTGCCCAGGTACACGTCGAAGTGGGTGACGCCCATGGTGCAGTGGCCGGCCGTGAGGACCCAGCGATTGTCCAGCAGAGTGCCGCCGCAGAGGATGCGCTTGCGCCACAGCTGCTTGCCGATGAGCATCACTTGGTAGGGAAACTTTTCGATGTTGCCGAACTTGGCCTGGCCAATGGCATAGCCGGAGCTGCTGTCCAGCTGGCACATGATAAACAGGCCGACAATCAGCGCACTCACACTCAATGTTTCTTTGCTCAATTCCATTTTACTGTTGTCTCACTTTGTTGTTATTTGTTGCTTTTGTTGTTGTTGTTTTCTGTTCTTTTTATTGTCACTAGCACGCGTCGTATACGTAATATGATTCACGATTTGCTTCTGCACGCTTCCAACGTTCGTCTCAGTTTGAATTCATTCTGACGATGTCGTGATATTTTATATGTGATATTAGAAGACAACAACAACAGCAAAATCAGCTTGTTTTTTTCGCCTTTTTGTGTTTTTGCTTTTTGTTATTTTGTTTTTGCCGGTTAACTGTCTGAGCCGCTCTTTGCGCCGCTGACTGATCAGATCACAGCTGAAATCTGTGCTCTCATCTCTGCTCTCTCTCGCACTCTCTCTTTCGCTTGCTTGTATAATCATGATGACGTTGTCCTCTACAAAGCGGTAGCTGCTTGTTATAACAACAAACAAGTTGTCTGAATATTGTTTTTATTATTTTTTTTTTTAATTCGTCATATCAGAGAAGAGCTCTTATCTCTTAGCCCTAGGTTCAAGTATTTTCCTGTTTGAATCAAATCCCAACGGGGGTTTGCCTAAAGACATGCGTAAGCTTCCAGGAAAATATACATGTAAAGAAGACAGAGATAGAGAGTGAGTAAGGAAGAGCAAGAGAGGAAGAGAGAGAGCTAGAGGCTAGACAACGAAACAGGTCTTACAGCTGTTGCCAGCCTAACCACAGCATTTCGTGACAAATTTGGCTTTAATTATGCGAAATTCGGAATTCTTTAACAAAGATTTTATATACAGAAATATGACAGTTGGGTTTGTTTTTGTTTTGAATACGCGTCTCTCTCTCTCCCTCTCTATTTTTTTCTTTCTTTCTGCTGTTGCGCATTTTTTTTTTCTTGATAAAAAAACCATGGGGACTCCGTTTAATATTATTAATTTTCGCTCAGTTTTTTTTATTAATATTAATTTACGTCTCAGGCTGAGTCGAAGTTAATTTCGTTTGCAACTTTCATACGAATTTAAGCGGAATTCGAAGATGAATCAATATTTGGTTTTATAAACAAATAAATACGTATGTAAATTAAGTTCTAGTTTTTTCTTATTTTTGTGTTTTGTGTTTTCTGTGATTTTTGAGTTTTCCAGTTTGTTGCTTAGCTGCGCAGATTGATAAAAATAAATAAATAAATATATAACAACAAAAAGAAACAATAAAGACTAAATGCAATAATTAAACTGAAATGGAAGTTAATTAATTTGGCGCCGACTTGGAATGTTGTTAATGAAAGGCGTCGACGTCTATCGCATTAATAAAATGTACTAAATAAACAAATAATATATATAAAATAAATAAACAAATGCGATACAAAAATGTAACTGGCATTTTCGTATGTACGAAAAGCCCCTTCAATTAATTCACACCTCAACTAAACAGGTGAGAGAGAGCGAAAACCCAACTAGTACTGTATAAGTGGGAAATTTAAAAATACATATTTTAAAATTATTATCTTATATATATTTAAGATTATCAATACATAGTTGAGAGCACCTTGTCCGTAGTTTTCACATTTTAATTCTAAATAGTTCCCGTCAATATATGTATTTAAATATTTACATATTAACATCGGTGCCTACTTAGAAAAGTTTATAGCTAATAATAAAAACGTTCCCATTAAGCTTTAACAGTTTGCTTCATGCATGCACACACTCATGCTAGCAAAGGAGCTATTCTAATTGGAATTCTATAAAAAATATCCAGTTGCAATTGTATTTAATAGGAGTCTATTCTAATTGAAATTCTATACAAAATATCCAGTTGCAATTGTATTTAAGATGTATTTATTTAGTTTTTTTTTTTTATTATGTGTGAGAATATAAAACAAGCTTTACAGGCTATCTGCGCGTCGAGCACTTCCCACATGAGCACTCTGAATTGTTTTATTTTATTAAATTTGCATAAAATTGTTTGACGATGCGAGCATTAATAAATATTCAAAGTAAATACTAAGAAACAAATTAGAAAATATGCAAAATACTCTTGATCTAGCTCTGGCTCTAGCCTAGAATCCAGTATTTAACATTTCACTTCCCGTTCTTTAGAAACAGCCGCCAATTTGTTTTATTGGCACATCATAAAAGTTTAAGCACATATATACATATCTCCTAATATATATCTTTTGATTCGGAGACATTATTCATTTTCGGCGCATTAAACTGGTTGATCGAGCTGCAATAAAAAAATATTTACATTCAGATCTTAACGAATTAAACCAATTTAAATGCCTTAACTGAAGCAAAATTCCACAGACAGAAGCCAAAAAGATTTATTCGAAATGTCGCTTTTAAATTGTATGTAAATATATGCAAATCTCTTACCAGGGAAACACCCAGCAGAAATTTGTTTACAGTTTCTTTTTTATTTGATTATTATGTATTTATTGCTGTACTTTTGTTGTTGTCAACGGTCGATGGCTGGCGCCTTACATGTTGTTTACCTTGCCGGAGAAAGCAGTTGGCCTTGACAGCCAACATTTTTTGGAAATACCAAAACATGGCTTAGAAAAGGTAGATGCACCCGAAAATTCCTGGCTCCCAACTCTCTCAGACTAAGCGCAGAACTCTAATGGCATTGAAGGTGTATTCACCCCGTGGCTTCGATTGCAATTAATTTGCCAGCCAGCCACGCCCACAACAAATGAGCAGAACAAATCGAATGTTGACGTCAGCCCAAAGCCACTGATTTAATATTTGATATAAGCTAACTAATTAAAGAAATGAAATGCGAAATGAATATGTACAAATGTGAATGCGTATAACCAGTAGTCAGCAGTGATAGCAATTTAGCTCAGCGCTGTTCAATGCTCGATGTTCGTTCGCTTAAATGCTTTCTAGAAGAAACAAAAGACAAGCAACAAATTAGAATGCTTAAACTCAAACTAGATCCGGTTGGATTAGTTTCAGTTCATGCTCGAAACTAACGATTCTAAACAAAACAACAACAAAATAGAGAGAAAAAAAGTAGAGAAAGAAGAAAGAAAGAGCAACAAACAAGGCGAAAGAAATCTAAACAGCTTGGGAATTCCCATAACACAAAACCATATTATTAATAAAAAAAAAAAAAAGAAAAGTAAAATACTGGGCCACTAGCCAATAACAAACTCCCATGACGATCCGCTTTACAAACAGATTATTGACTTTATCATTAGTCAAAGCTGATCGGGCCTCAAGGCAAAGAAATTGATTGGCGCCAGACGGCTGCATTTTTTTTTTTTTTGCTTCGCTCTTTTTTGTTTAGCGTCTGGTATTTCCCAAGACGTGCGAATTCGCTTCTCTTTTTTTTTTTAAGAAAGTCGTTAAAACAAATAATTTTAATTAATTTGCCAGACGATTTCAATTTTGATTTAAGTTCTCGAGTAAATTTGATTTAAATGCGTAAAAACTTGTTTATTATTATTATTTTTTTTTTTAATTCTAGAAAACCGCATTTACGCTTGAATAACGCACAAATTTTATATACTTTACTTTACGCCTTTTGTGGAATGTTTTGTGTAAGCTTTTTGTTCTCGTTTATTTGATTTTTGTGACGACGTCGGCAATTTGGCGCCACTTAAATTGACATCGATAATTAATTATTAAGCGCAATGAATATGTAAATTCAAATTTGCATTTAAATTAGAGCTGTCAAAATACTAGAGTCGTCAGCCGACTTTAGATGAAAACAACAACACAATTAGTGGGCTCTAAAACCAAAAATTGGGCGATTAAATTATACAGATTGTAAACAAAACCAGATGAGGAAAATTCTGAACAATCAAATTAAAATAAAAGACATGAGCGTTCATTAAATCATTAGCAAAAACGTCTTGCCTTGTCTTGTTTACAAATCAATACTTATAATGTAAAATAAAGAAACTTCCTCCAGCAGTGGCTACAACGTCATCAGCAGCAGCTCACCTTTGCTCAGGTTTCGAATGTCACTGAACTTCGCTTAAAACAAAAACGCATTTTTTCGGAAACTGGATTTTAAAATTTATGGTAAAAAAAAAAAATAATAATATAAAAAGATCATACTGTAAATGCAAAAATTGTCAACATATCCTGTCCATTTAATATTTATTGGTTGTCAAGTGCAATGACATGCAAGAAGCACTTATTGTTATTAAACTTAAAATATTCATTTAAATTGACTACCAAAATTTTTTCCAAGGCTGCCACCTTGTTGATATTATCAACATATCGATTGGCAAAACCATGCTAGCTCGATAGCTAGCTCGATAGTTTACGGGTGTATTCGATTATTAGGAACAGCCGGCGTAAACAACGCGTTTTGGATTGGATTGCTAGGAATATATCAACAAAAATGAAGGAAACAGATTTAAAACGTGCATATAACAATGTTTTGGCTCAAGCTATATCAACGTCACAGAAGTTCCTGTTTGCTGGCAACCTGTTTGGCGACATTTTTGTTCTAAGGTAAATTGTTTGAGATCAAAGCATTTTTCTGTGACTAAAGAAATTTGTTTGCAGTTTAAATGAATTGAATAAAACAAATGAAGAGCCGCCGAAAAAGCTGAAGGTATTTCCACAGGGTTGCGATGTGGACATCAACTGTCTTGCCTTTCATCGCGATTTTCTAATCGTTGGCGCCATTGGACTCATTTATGGAATCCAGTGGAATGAGGAAGAGGAAACATTGAGCACAGAACGTGCCTGGGAGATCAAAATACCCATGCAAGTGGATGCAGTAGAGGTGCCAGATGTCAACTCTTTTTGGCTATGCACTGAAACGGATTCCTTGTATGCTGGCTGCGGCGACGGCGTCGTCTATAAAATCGATCTGGAAGACGGACGAATTCAGCGCGAATATCGCGGACACACGGACTATGTGCACTGCGTTGTCGGCCACCCGGATGGCCGGATCTACTCGAGTGGTGAGGACGGCACTGTGCATTTCTGGTCGGACAAACAAAAGGAGCCAACCGCAATTTTAGAGCCGCACAAGAATGCGCAACTACTGCGTCCAGATTGGGGCAAATGGATTGGCGCTGTGTCCGTCAATAATGACTGGCTGGTCTGTGGTGGTGGTCCACGTCCAGCCATCTGGCATTTGCGCTCAATGGAATGCACACGCACATTTGATTACCCTGGTCGCGTCCATGTCTGTGAGTTTGTAGATGACTCAGTGCTCATTGGTGGAGAGCACAATCACGTGCAGTTCTATACGCTCAATGGAGCGTTGCAGGCCAACATTCCTGTGGAGCACACAGCCAGCTATTCGGCCGTGTGGCAAACGAATCCCTTCAACTTCATGTCCATTGCCGGGTTCAGCAACAAGTTGCACATACTGAAGGACTTTCGCTTTCTGGACAGTAAAATTGAAATGTACGGCAATGTGCAGGGCGACGAGGTGGAGAACGAAGAGCAAGATGATAATGATGACGACGATGATGGCGAGGACGATTCGTTTTAGCTAAATACCTTGAACATCTCTCTAAGTGTATAAATATATTTTTGTGACTGATAAATGCCACATTCAAATGTTTTCTTTTGAATATAGCGTGAACTTTATTGGATTTGTTTTTGAACCTATGAACTAAGGAAATTAAAACTTATGCCAACTACTTAATTATATACTTAAAAGAATTAATTTGTACCTGAAACAGTTGTCCAAGGCCGTCATCTGGTTCACTGCTCGCTGCCACCCAAGGGTATAAATGCGGGCAGTTGGCCCAGTTTCGGCCTTTGACGCAATCCACTGCTGCTGAGCGAGGCTTCTTCATCCAATTCAGCCTCAACTTCCTGCTCATCATCCTTCTGCTGACTGTCTGCCTCTACCTGAAACTTATCATTTTCGCAAACAAAATAGCGTGAGCTACCGGGCAGTTCCTCTACGGCAGCCTCAGCAATAGCTGGAACGGATTGTACTTTAGATTTGGGTTTAGGTTTAGTTTTGGATTTAGGTGTAGATCGCACTGCAGATAATTTTGTTTGCTGTTTCATTTGCTTGCAGTAGATGCAGTTGGTCAGCTCGCACTTGCCGCGACGCGCATATTCCGGACAGACAAATTCATGTCGCATATTGCACTTGAAAATTGAGAGGAGTTAATAAGAATCGATTGGAAAATGGAGCAAAACTTACATCAGCGGCACGCGCGCAATAGCCACGCAGAAAGTCAATGCATATCTCGGCCTTACGGCTCAGTTTCTTATGCAGATATGGACAATCCTCGCGCACACAGACGCCCCGTAAGAAGTAACGACACACAGGCATCTTCTCCAGCGTCACGTTATGTGAGAGCAGGCACTCCTTCTTGGTGCACTCACCTCGCAGAAAGCTGCAAGAAAACCATGAGCAGGAGTTCAAGTCCACGTCTAGAGAGCTAATTTTTTCTTACCTTGGACAGATGGCAACCTGTCGCTTGTCGTGCAGTCGTCGACACTTGCCTCGACTGTGAGCCGCACACTTGCCCAGTCTTTGGTAGATAGCACATGGCACATTTGTCTTCACAAGCGAGCGATTCAGCACCTGAAGACTACGCTGCTTGGCAGTCATCAAATGGGCACGGGACACATGATTTGTGGTGCGTATGAAAACATTTTGTGCCTTCGGCGAGGAGACATAAGTCAAGCCACCAATGTCGATGCGCCGACGCAAGCTTTTATTAACGATCAATGGCGAGCTGTGAGCAGGCACACGGGTCAATCGGCAGCCAGAGGGATCCAGGACGAATTTGGTGCCACGCACAAACAACGTGCGACCAATCGAGCCATTTGCCTTCTGCTGCTGAGCTGGCACAGACTTTTTCGCTGAGGCATTAGTATCCAGTTTGGTCAGCTTATTCTTGGCTGTCTTCTTGTACATGACGCCATGTATGCTCACCATGCTTAGCGATTTGTTTACGCTGGGTTTGAGAATGCTTGATTTCTTTAAGCTGCGGTAGAGTTGGTTAGCAGAACTATTTCAGGAGACTGATGAAGCTATGTTAGAGACTTACCTCAATTTTTTGCCAGCGATTGCATCATTAGTGCGTCTCAATGCGTAGCGAGCCACAAATTCTTTAGTTCTACGTTTCTTCACCAAGGGCGTGCTGCTGTGTGCGGTTAGGGATATGGCGCGCACTAGCTTGTATTTGGTTCGCTTGGCGGCAGTTACAACTGTAGTTGTGGGCTTGGCAGTTGTAGCCACAGCTGGTTTTACTATGAGTGCACTTTGTCTAACGAGCTTTCGCTTGGTTATGCTAACTAGAGGAGGTTGTACACATCGCTGAATGGGTGGGGCTGCTTGCTGCTTGCGTACCAGGCAGGTGCTTGCTTTGCTTATGATTTTCGCGGGAGGAGGCGGCGTCAATGCAGCAGCAACAGTTTGCTGCTGATAATACGTAACATGCTGTTGTTGTTGTTGTTGTTGTTGTAGCATCTGTTGCTGCTGTTGTTGTTGTTTTAGCATCTGTTGCTGCTGATGCTGTTGTTGTATTTGTTGCTGATGCAGTTGTTCTTGTTGAAGCTGTTGCATTTGCTGTAACTGATATTCACGCTGCCGCTGCAGAAAATACGGATTTATATGTATGGCTGGTCGTTCCCATGCTTCAAGCGCATGACTCTGTCGGCCTTGAGGCTGCAGCGCACTCGTCACTTGACTATGAAAATTCGGATTTATATACACTTTTCGTCCCACGGGTGGAATGTTCTCTTCGGCACTTATGTGTGGCAGCATATTAGGGTGTTTTTGTTATCACAATTTGTTAGCAAGTTCTATTTTTGTTTTTAAGATGACTTTAATTGCGTGGCTGAGTGTAATTATGTTTTTGTATTATCTTTTCATCAACTTTTGTCATCGCAGCTACGTAACTATCGCTACGCCTCGATTACAGCTACGTACTTGTGTGAATGGCTAAAATCATCGAAACGCGGGTATGAGCATTTATCGATATTGTCAAAGAATAAGAGCACCAAGAAACGTTTGTACAAATTAAAAATGGGTAAAGAACGTGGACGAGGACGAGGACGAGGACGTCGGAATTTCCAATCCAAACCGTATAACAAGCAAAATTGGCGTGGACAAAAGAAAGAGCACTCAAAACATAACAATGGCCAATCACAATCAGTCAACAGGTGAAGTTTTATATTTCTAAGATTTCAAAGAACTCACCGGCTTTCCTTGCAGAGTACCACAGCAGAAGTGCACACTGCTTGAGACTCAGGTGGGCATTACGGAATTCACAAATGCAGATATTGCAGGCTTTACGGGCATTCTGAAATCTCGTTTCTCCGATTTCCATGTGAACGAAATCGACACTGACGGACACGTGCTACAGCTGAATGATTTAAACGTGCCAAAAGCGGAAATTGAAGGTTTGTAGCTACGGTTAAGGAGAATTAATTTAAAACTTTAACTGCTTATTATTTGCAGCCGTGGATCCTACTGTTTTGGACGAATGGCGCGATAAGCTGGCCCCAATCATTGACAAAGAAGTGTGGCAGCAAATATCCGACTTGTCCACACTCAAATATGATAATAAGAGTGAACAGAAAGTGGATATAAACGTTAGCAGCCTCACTAAGGAGGAACGTACTCTAATCCATCATCTTGTGAAACAGCTCTACAGGAACAAATTGGTATCAAAAACAATTGACCAGTCGGCAGATCAACAGGTGGAAGAGCAGAAAATAATACGCATAGCAAAGCCCAAGCCAGGCCGCTGTAAGTTATTTCTCCAAGGCATTAATCAAATCTTAACTTTTTCGTATTTTACCTGTAGCTGATAGCCGCTGGAATTTTCCACATGACTTTGTTAGCTTTCTGGTGCACAAAGTCAATATGGATACGAGTGAGGTGGCTTCAACAATAGCAAATCGCTTGAAGTGAGTTCCGACATATTATTCTAAGTGCGTTTCAGATCAATATCAGATAATTTCCACATATTTATCAACAGTCTGCATCCATCGCAGGTGAATTATTGTGGCACCAAAGATAAACGCGCAAAAACCACGCAACGCTTTTGCATTAAACGCCGTACTCCCGAGGCCATCGCGAATGCTGCGCGAGGCATAGGCAATGTTCACATTGGTAACTTTTCCTTCCGGCCTGAAACGTTGAAGTTGGGCGATCTTAAGGGCAATCGCTTCCGTATTGCACTGCGCCACATTACACATCCTCGAGAGCACATCGAGCAGGCATTGGAGTCGCTAAAAGAGCGTGGATTTATCAACTATTATGGCCTGCAGCGGTTCGGCAATAGCGCCACTGTACCCACTCATGAGGTGGGCGTGGCGTTGCTCAAACGCGACTACAAACTGGCCTGTGAGTTGATATTAAAGCCACGCGACAATGACGTGGAGTTTATGCGCGCTATACGTGAAGCTTGGTGGGAGAATCGGGATTCAGCTGCGGCTGCAGCCAAGTTCCATGGAAATAAGTTTATTGAAAAGAAACTCTTGGACGGCTTGGCCACATATGGCGAGAATGATTACGCTGCAGCTCTGCGTCGCATTCCACGTAATATGCTACTCCTATACCCTCATGCTTATCAGAGTCTTATCTTCAATCGCATCGCTTCGCGACGTATCAAAGAGTTTGGATTAAAGCTGATTCCTGGAGACTTGGTTTACGTCGAGGAAGAGAATGATCAGCAGGTTAAAGCTCCAGAGGAGTCTGTGCCTCCAGCTGAAACCGACGAAATCATGGAGGATGTGTTGGAAGGTGAAGGTGACAATCCGCTGGAAGAGGAGTCGATCTTCAAACGTAAAGTTCGGCCACTTACAGATGAGGACATAGCCGGAGGCAAATATAAATTATCAGATGTTGTACTCCCACTGCCTGGTTACGATATAACATATCCGAGCAATGAGTGTGGTGCTTGGTATGACGAGATGCTCGCGGAGGTAGGGTTAACGTCAGAGCAATTACGACACAAGGAGAAAACCTATGCGCTTGGTGGTGCCTATCGAAAACTGCTTATAAAAACGGACGACTTGAAATGGAGTTTTCGTCGGTACAGCACATACGAGGACACACTGATAGCCTCTGACTGGGAGCAGTTGAAAAACATTGAGATTACACCTGAGCCCCCTGAGTCAGAGAACTGCTATACGGCTCTGCTGTTGGAGTTTACTTTGCCAACAGCTGTTTATGCCACAATGCTTCTGCGCGAGCTATTTAAACAGGATACCTCAACGGCTACACAAATGCAGCTGGAAAAGGAGGAGATCATTAAGAAGCTCGCACAAGAAGTTCCCATAATTGAAGCCGAAGCGCAGCCGCAGCCAATTTGAAAAAAAGCAGCTACTAAGACAACAAATCGATAAGAAAAATCAATTTACGCGCCTTCTATATTAGTGTTTGTGTGTGTGAGTGTGTGTGTGTTACTTCAAACCAACCACAACAATAACAATGCGCACGTGAGTGCACGGCGCGCTATCTTATGCTCACGTTCTCTCGCTGTTGCTCTCTTCGGTCTTTTGTCTGACGCTTTGAGTGAGTGTGTGTGCGTCCGGCCAGGACTAAACTTAAAGTCCTATTCTCTGGCCATTAGTACGCTGACAAGCGAGAGCTTTAGACGCGCTGCGCAACATATAACGTCGCCGTGTTTGTGCGTGTGCCTACCATTAATGTTGTAAAAGAGGAGTAACAATAACAAATAAGATCCGAAGCTAATCAGAAAATAACTGTAAATTTGTTTTGACCGTTACAAGTAATCGGAACAAAAGGAAAGAATAAGGTGAATCATACATGAATCATATACACATATTAAATATACTCACCCGAACGCACACATACACATTGAAATTTAGGCGCGTATTTTTAAACAGAAATCCTTTATTAGCAATGAATAAAAGAGTGTATAATTTTGCAGTAATTAACAGTATTGAACAGTATTTAAGTAATGGAACTATATTTATATATATATATACATTACTTTGCATTGGCTTTGCATGCTTATCGATTTTTGTGCGTGCCTTTGCCCAAATCAATCGATAATGTGGTGTTAATGCGCTACAGCTACTACACACACATCAACTTTAGAAAGGTGGGCGACGACGGGCATGATGCATGAAGTATTAGTGGTTCATATTAGCTGATAGAGCGGCAGTTAGTCGGGTGTTGTGAGGGATTGGGGTGGGCCTGGTGCACTGCGTTGCCCTTAAGTGTAACCATGCAGGACAGTGTCATCGAAATTAATAAACTAAATGCTTGTTTGGCGTCGTCTACTCACACACCCAAACACCAACCCACCCACCTAAACCAGCCAGACATGGTTATTGGACATGTTATTGCTTGCGCGCGCACTCTTTGACCAGCAGTGAGACGAAACGTTTCAACTAACTGCGTCATAGTTGGAGTTGCTTTGCGACTTCGATTTTTGCGCCCAACACCTAAGTGAAATAAAATACTTACAATTTGACTTATATACTCAAGACTTATTTAAATAAATATATCATCGATTTGCTCGTCGTTGAGAGCACGGAGATTGCATTTGCATAAATAGGCCAAAATCTTTTTCTCAGCCTTACTACGATTGGCGCCCAAGCCCTGCAGCAGAGCCTCAATGCGTTTCATGGCGCCGTCACTGAACGATGTGTCCGGCGGTAGTGGTGGTGGTGCTAGCGGTGGTTGCACATTAACTGTGGTTGCATGCTGTTCGTCCATTGCCTCCTGCAGCGCATCTTCATCGTTTTCGATGAGCTCCTCGGTGCCTTGCGAATGCCAATTAGCAGTTAGAGGTGCCGTTATATTAACAACTTGTCGTTCACCACTGTGATGGCCGTTGTTGCTGCTGCTGTGGTGTTTGTGTTGTGCAATGAACTGTAGCTTTGGCAAAAAGTCCCAATCGGAGTGATCCTTCAGCAGTTCTCTGCGAAACTTTTCGCGAAGGAAATTCCATCGTCCTATGCAGGTGTTAACTAACAATATGAAAATGTTTTAATATATAATCTCATAAACATTACATAGAACACTCACTAACCATCAGTTTTTAAGGATGTTGCGATGCTGCACCACAATTCAGTTTTCTTTTTCTTACTGGAATCATATGGTGATTTACGCACTTCGCGTTCATATAAACTAGGATTGGAGCGCACCAGTTCTATAAGACGATTGTCAAATTCAGAACACGTGGACATTGTAAACAAAAAATATAAACAAAATTTTCCCAACAACTCGCACAGAGTGCATCAAAACAAATACAATTTGATAGTTCGATAGGCGTTTCGATAGCAACACATTTGCAGTGTTGCACAACGTTCACTAGTTATTTCATTTTTGCGCGCCACTTATCGATTTTATTATTGATTTTGTATTTCTTTTCTTATTTAGTGTACTTGACAAATAGTAGACAACAGTTGCGTTCAACTAACGCTGAACGGCCTCGAAAATGGCCGCCGAGAATTATCATCTGAAATGGGACTCGCATTTGTCCTATTTGAACACTTCCATAGCGACGCTCTACAAGTAAGTACACATTTATTGAGAGAAAGTAGTTAAGCTAATCAAGTTCCTTTATCAACTCGCAGAAATGAGAAGTTTGCCGACGTTATGCTATACAGTTCGTATAGCAACAGTGGCATCAATTCAGATATACCCACAGTGGGCATATCAGCGCACAAATTTATTTTGAGCTCCTGCAGCCAGTTCTTTGCCACCATGTTTGAGACAGCGCCAATTACAGCGCCCAATGGCGTTCTCTATATAGTGCTTCCGCCTGATCTGAGTCATCGTGCCATACAAATCCTTGTGCAGTATATGTACAGTGGCGAAGCAACGGTCTCCAATGATATCTTAAATGAAGTGTTGCGCGGGGGAGAAATCCTGAAGATACGCGGCCTTTGCCGGACGAGCACCTCAAGTGGTGCCAGCGGCACTGGACACCACCTGCATCATCAGCGTGAGCCCAGTGCTTTGTATGTTTCAAATGGCACACGTTCTTCACTGGCGCCGCCTCCGCCACCACCGCCCATGTCGTCCGCACAGCTTCCCGGTGATATGTACAGCAACAAGCCCAGCAGCAGTAGCAGCAGCAGCAGCTCTGCTCGTTACTCKCTGGATCATCTGCATACGCATCCACATTCACATACGCATCCGCATCAGCATCATCATCATCAACAGCAGCATCAACAATTTCGCGGCTTGGGTGCTTCCGTAATGCCAAAGGACAGTCCGGTGATTGTGAAGTCACCTAAAATGGCCAGCCACACGGGTTTGCTCAGCGTGGCGAGCAGCAGCAAGCTGATTGCTGGCGGCATCTCTGTCAATAAGGAAGTGGCCATTGACCCGGAGGACAAGTGCTGCTATGCAGCAGCGAGCCAAGTCGAAAGTCTACCACAGTCAGCGACAGCAGTTACAACCACAGTGGCTGCACCACCACCACCACCACAAATGTCCATTTGCACAGAAGTCGGCTGCAACAGCTGTCCACTGGCTGCGCCGGCCACCGAACAAGCGGACTCCACATTACGCCGTTCGGACTATGCAGAACGGGAACGTCTGGTGGAGGAGCCGCTGTGCGAGCGAGAAAGAGACGATGTGGGCATGGTCTACGAGAGACGTCTGCGCCGCGAGCGATCCTGTGAGCGAGGTAAAACTTTGGTTCTCTGATAGAAAAATACTTGTATAATCAGATTTCTATCGATTTGTAGCTCCACCCCACGAATACTTTGGTCACGATGCCCCGCACTATGAGCATGTGGTCAAGTCTTATGAAGTAACGACTGCACCACGCCTGGCCACGCCCCCACATCCACATAGTTTTCTGACCATTAAGCAGGAACCAACCGATTGGTCAACGGGCAATCAATCAGGAGCGCTGCCAAACGACAACCACGAGCTGAGCCAGGAGGCGCAGCTGTCGCCCAAGCAGCCGCTGGACTTTAAGATCAATGCTGTCAAGCTGGAAGCGAATTCTACGCCACAAGAAGATTCCGAGGAGCATACGTTGCGTGATTACAACAATTTCAAGCTGCTCGTTTGTGAGATCTGCCAGAAGTCGTTCGAAGATACCAAAATGCTTGTGCGTCACCTGGGCACCCATGCCGCCGAGCCAACGGGCAATGTGATGGGCAGCAGTGTGAGCGGCACGGGMAGCAGCAGCAGCTCCACAGCCAATAGCAATCTGGCGCTGAGAGCATTGAAGACCTATGTGCCAAAGAAGCGACGCAGAGTGTCGGTGAGTGCCGTTGGATCCATTGGTGTATTGGACAAGCCCTTAACTCTTCCCATCCCTCATTCGCATGTACAACAGCAACAGGAGAACAACATGGATCATGTGACACTGCTCTGCGATCTCTGCTCCACGTAAGATCGAATGGCAATCCAAACCAAATGTGAATATATAGCGTTTCGTTTCGTTGCAGTTCCTTTGAAACGCCCGCGGAGTGGGTGCGTCATATGAATAGCCAACACACGGAAATCGAGCTGGCCATGTTCAATAGCAAAAAGGATGGCGAACAGAAGGGGTGTGTGTGATAAAGCCCTGCTTAATCGAGCATTTGTTGAACTCTCTGTTCACTCTGTTCACAGCAGCAGCAACAACAACAACAACAACAACAATTCTTCTTCTGCCTCCGTTAGCCAAATGCAGCACACAGTCGTCAGCTCGGCAGTCGCCAACTCGCCAGGAGCCGCAGCAGCGGCAGCAGCAGCTGTGGTGCATAAAAAGTACTTGAGTGCCAGCCGGCTGGGTGGGGGACAAGGACAAGGCCTTAGCAACAGGGGAAATGGCGCTACGACCGCATCACCGGGGCTGGCCAACAGCTCAACTGCATGAGCCCAGGCAGAAGCACAACTCCAAAGACAACAACAACTAGAGCAACAACAAGACCACCAGCAGTCAGGCCACGAGTGAGAGAAGCAATAAGATGCAAATTTTTTGAACAAAATCAAGTCGTTCCAGAAATCAAAAACAAAAACAAATTATAAAGAAAATTTATTTATACGAAACAGCAAGAACCGTGATCAAAATGCAGCAAACACAGCATATTTTATAGAGCAAAAAAAAAAAAAAAAAAAAGAGTTGAAATTAACTAAAACAAAAAACTACAACTTAAAACGAAACTGTAAACGAAACTTAGGATCGGAATCGTCAGGCAACGATGCAAAACAAAAACAAACAAAAAACATACGATTAATACTTTAACTCTGTAGTATTTTAAAATCTATTGTAGTTTTAAACTTTATTCCCCACTCGCGAACCGCAAAAGGCGCAAATATAACGAATCCCAAACATTTGAAACAATTTACAAACAAAAATAAGCGTTTCTATCAAATGTAATATTCGAGGCAAACATTTTTGTTTAGTGATAGAACTAAAAACTTTAACAACAATTATCTAACTAATTTTGATGGAATTATTGATAGAGATCTTTTGAGTCCAATGAATGATTTTTCAATTTTAAACTGAAAAGCAGCTTTCAATTATTTTTGAATTAATATAATAATAGCTTAAACTCATTCGAATGTTTTATATGTATCACATATTTTGTGTTTTTTGCTGCATATATATTTTTCTATTTTTATAAACACTTCTTTGGGTAGAGTTTTTAAACATTTTGTAAATAGGATAAGTTAATTTTTTTGAAGGGCCGCCGAAGCGAACATTTTTGAAAAATTACAAAAAACAAAAAAACTACTTATGTATCTAAATGTGTGTACTTAGAAGTTGACAATTCAATTAAAATCTAAAAGTTGTAAAGCGGAATTTTCCCCAATATACAAACATTAATATATATACATATATATATACATATATACAAAGCAACATACATAAATATGTATTTGCAAATCATCGTGATTCTTAACTAAGTAAATGGATGCGCGTATGTGTATGCGAAAACAAACACAAACACAAATACAAATACACCTACATACTTAAATACGAAAATGGTGTACAACTAAAATCGAATATGTAGCAAACGCGTTTTATTCGCATAATAAACAACAAGAAATCGTTTTTAAATAAGCACAGAGCAGCGTAACAATTTAAGAGAGACTGAGTGAGGGAGAGAGAGAGTTCGCAAATATGGAATGTGAAGAACGTAACAGTTGGAGCGCGCCATGTTTGATGTTAAGCGCAAAGAGCAGCCGCTACGCTCACGAGTTTCATAACGAACGGTTGTTTGCCGCTCACTATCGCTTGCTTTTTGCATTTGCCTGAACGGCCTTAACTAAAAGGAATATGACATATGCCAGCTATGGCAACTGAGAGCAAAAGTTCGACTCTTAAAATTTTTACAATCAATGCCATTTAAGTAAGAGCAGCAGACGCTTTCTTATTTAGTTGCCTTTAGCATTCGTGAGCAAGCGAATCAATTGCTGGACAAGGAGTTAATTAATTTTTTTTTGCAAAACGTCTTTCTTTGGCCGCATCAAACTTCAACCATTAATTATGAGTGCTGGCAAGCATTTGACGAAAGGTACGTCACTTATTAGATGGAATTATCACTCATTGTCTGCGTGTTTTGTGGAGAAAAACAAGTTTGAAGTATCAAGAAATATTTCGAGACATTCTTATCGGTATTTTATTTTTATTTTTATAGAATGACTAATCATTATTGAAATGCTAATGTTGTAGGTTCTCCACGGCCGGCGTTGCCTGATGATGGTGTGCCACGGCTATATTCAATGCGCTTTTGCCCATATGCCCAGCGGGCTCATTTGGCGCTGAATGCCAAAAAGGTGCCTCACCACATCATTTACATTAATCTAACCGAGAAGCCCGAGTGGCTGGTGGACTATAGTCCTCTGCTGAAGGTGCCGGCACTCCATTTGGTTGGCGAACGCAATCAGCCATCTCTGATTGAGTCGCTCATCATTGTGGAATATCTGGATGAGAAGTATCCGGAGAATCCATTGCTCCCCAAGGATCCACTGCAGCGTGCCCAGGACAAGATCTTGGTAGAGCGCTTTGGCGCAGTGACCAGCAACTTTATGAAGATTATTGTGCATAATGCAGAGCCTGATGAGCTCTGGACTGCTTTCGATATATTTGATGAGGAGCTGGGCAAGCGTGGCTCGGCCTATTTCTCTGGCAGCAAGCCAGGCTTCGTGGACTACATGATCTGGCCCTGGTTTGAGCGTCTGCCTGTGATCAAATTTGTACTCGAGGATCGCTATAACTTTGATGTCAAACGCTTCGCCAAGCTCAATGCCTGGATTGAGCTCATGCTGAAGGATGAGTGGGTTAAGTCCTTCTATGTCACTCCTGAGCAGCACGTGGAGTTCTGGCGCACCCGTAAAGCCGGCAATGCCAACTACGATATGCTTGCTTGAGCCATAATTACAGATTTATCTTGTTGTTAATGTTATCGGAGTTAATGTAAAACATTTTATTTTGTTTAATTCAAATTTAATCTTAATCCGGGTTGAGTTAATACAAATAAAGAGTGGAATATTTTAACTATTGTCTACATGTCTAGTTATAGTAACTTAGTCAGGCTTCACTGTACCGGTTTTATGTGTGTCACACGCCGCAATGCACCCCCAAAGGTTCACACACAGCCCACCAAGTTCAGCCGCGGTAATGCACACCTTTCGGCGAAGGGCACCTCAATTGAAAACCTTATAAAGGTGCTGATTAAGTGAGCTCCAAGCACCAGTTGCGTCTCGCATCAAGCAGCACACATCATGAGCAGCGGCAGACACTTGGCAAAAGGTAAGCAGCTCCGCAGTCGGTCCTAGTTGCTCAACAAATCTGATCTGCAGGCTCTGGGACGCCCGATGTGCCCGAGGATGGCATCTTAAGGCTCTACTCCATGCGCTTCTGCCCCTTTGCCCAGCGCGTGCATCTGGTGCTAGATGCCAAACAGATACCCTATCACAGCATTTATATAAACCTCACAGATAAGCCAGATTGGCTGTTCGAAAAGAATCCCGAGGGTAAGGTTCCAGCGCTGGAGCTAGTGCGCGAGCCAGGCCCGCCCGTCCTTACCGAGTCGCTGCTCATATGCGAGTACCTGGACGAGCAGTATCCACTGCGTCCGCTCTACCCACGTGATCCGCTGAAAAAGGTGCAGGAGAAGCTGCTCATCGAACGCTTTGGTCCCGTTCTCGGCGCCTTCTTCAAGGCCTCTGATGGCGGCGACCTGGAACCCTTCTGGAGTGGCCTCGACATATACGAGCGAGAACTGAGCAGGCGTGGCACACTCTTCTTTGGCGGCGAACAGACGGGCATATTGGATTACATGATCTGGCCCTGGTGTGAGCGACTAGAGTTGCTACAGCTACAGCGCGGTGACGACTACAACTATGACGAAAAACGTTTTCCAAAGCTGGTGAGTGTTTAAGTCTGCCAACTGGTGCTCTCAAATCTCATCGTTGCGTTGCAGACGGAGTGGCGAGAGCGGATGAAACGTGATCCTGCTGTGATGGCCTTCTATATGGAAGCCGAGGTGCAGGCCGAGTTCTTGCGCACGCGCAGCGCCGGCAAACCAAACTACAATCTGTTGGTCAAGGATGCCTAAACTGTGTCCATGTCTAAGGGAGCAATAAATATGTTTGAGCTAATCTAGAAGAGCACGACTATAATTGGGTTTCCTTAACAAGGGAATATCAATGTTATTAAGGCACATTACAGCCAAGACACATACAATCACATTTCAAGAGTAATTTATTATTGGGCCTGTATTATTCCATAAGTTCTTTTGTACAATCTCATTCTTCTGCAGCAACTGGGAAAGCTATATCATAGTTGGGCTGGCCTTCCTGGCGGGTGACCATGAATTGGGCATGGGTCTGGCTATCCAGCGCTATTTCCTTGATGGCCTCATCCTTGGCCATTAGATCGACCCAATCTAGCAGTTTAGCATAGCGAGCTCTGTCCAGTTCATATTCCCCGGGCACTACATGCTTGAGTGCTGGGAATCGTTCGAACCAAGGCCAGATCATATAGTCCACCATTCCAATTTGGGCGCCACCAAAGTAGGGCGTTGCACGGCGGGTCAGCTCCTGCTCGAACACATCCAAAGCATTCTCGAAATTAGGCAATGCATCCACTGGTGGATCTTTGGTGAACAACACGGGATACACGGCATCGATAGCTGGTGACAGGCGCTGAATGAGTATTTTATCCTGAGCCTTCTGCAAGGGATCTTCGGGTAGCAGTTGACGCACCGGGTACAGCTCATCGAGATACTCGGCGATGACTAGAGATTCCACAAGAGTCGGTTGGCCAGGCACAGCGGTTAACTGAATAGCGGGCACCTTGCCCAGCGGACTGAAGTCGGTGTACCACTCGGGCTTCTCGGTCAGATCAATGTAGATCTTGTGATGTGGAATATGCTTGGCAGCCAGCACCAACGAAGCGCGCTGTGAGTAGGGGCAGAACCGCATGAGGTAGAGCCGTAAGACTCCATCATTGGGCAGCTCAGGCTTGGGCGAACCTGTTGGTGACGCATGCACAAGGCAGATCAGATAGGTGAATGGTCTGTGATGTGTGTCATGGGAAACTACGTTTTGTAACTGTCTCAAAAATATCGGTAACGCGAAGCCGGCGTATTGATATTTTTGGGTGACATTGAAACTTACCTTTCTTAAAGTGCTTCAGCACGTCCATGATGTCAATGATATCGTAGCGCTCACTTTCGTGCTCAGCTGCTATTTGATAACAAACTTTGAGTTTTTAAACAATTTATAATCTACATACGAATTTTTTCTCTCTGGTTTTGTTACCGAACGAAGCTTTTATGCCTAACAGCTGAATGCTAAGACAGTAAGCTGTTAGCTTACAGTCTGTTAACTTGAGCAACATACACGAGCTATCGATATAAGTACCTTATCGATAAGCTTAACAGTAAGCTCAAATTCAAATGCCAAATAATCGTTACACTTTAGATATAATTTATATTTCCATTAATTTCTTTTCGTACTTCTTTTATATGACAAACTTATACATTTATTTTGAATTTTAACTAAAATTTAACTACCACAGATAGGTTGCAACTATATATTAAATGTATATATAATATAATTTGATACATACATAAAAACATACATATATTTATATAGATTTTCGTATTGTGTGTATATGTATATAATAAATGTTTTACTTGTAAATTATGGTCGCTGATATAATTATATTAGATGTAACTCTAAACAGATGTAGTTAGACAATTTCTACATTTCTATAACGTTGAGATTTACATGAATAATTGGTTTATATATATAATTGTATGTTATAAGCATGTACGTACGTATTTTATGTATGAGCGCATTTATAATTTTAATTGAGGTCCAGACATGACCGCTTAACTAAATACATAACTCTTGCACTAGGCTAAAAAACTAGACAAAATGATAACTAATTAACAATTAAGGTAAACATTTATTGGAAATCTTGCAATGTGTGTGTGTGTGTGTGGATGTGGGTTCTGTTTTTTTGTTTCCTTTTTTTCGTATTTGCACGACCTAGACCGTCGTATCCGGTGGCGGTGCAATGGGTTGCTTGGACTCGGAAACATCCAAACGTGTAGCTGTCGCATTCGTTGTGCCGTCCTGCTGGTCCGGCGCAATATCAATGCGATGCGCCTTCCGCCAAACGACCAAATCCATGAGGAACGCCAAAAACATAATGCCAGCCGTAATGCCTGCAGTAGACAGAGAATTGCAGTGACTGTTACCCTTTGGCAGAGCTTCGGAACTTACCCAAAAAGTATTGCCGGAAGGTGTCCGCATCGTAGAGCGAACAGGCGCCATGTTTGCCACAAACCGATTTCCAGATGAGACAGGCCGAGTCCACCACAGCGCCATAGATAATCGGGCAAGGAACATTACCAAACAGGCCAATGGCTGACTGGATGACGCCCATGGCCATGGCTTTATCTAGTTGGGTAAAGTAAAGTTCATGAGATTTGAGATTCTATGCCTGGTGGATAGGCAACAAAATGTTTGACAGCTGAGCTTGGACTTACCCTTAGGATGTGTACAGCGCATGACGAGCAGCATGCTGCCCACCTCAGAGGTGGAATGCATAAATACGCAAATGGCAAAAATCGCTATAAAGTAGATGAAGTTCTTGCAGTTATTATCACAGTAACCAGTGACTGCCTCAGCAACTGAAATGTGACAAAAATTTAAAGTGGGTGTCAGGCAAAGGATTCGCATGTCAAAGTTTACCATTTGGAATGCAAGCACAATCGGTGTAGAGTGTGCGATTGTCGCTGAAACGCAGCTGGGAGCTGCTGCAGCCGGCATGGCAGGCCGAGATGTACATTTTGCCATCGGTGCCGCAAATGGGCGCGAAGTTCTCCTTATCACAGGTACAGTTGAGCACGGCGCTGCAGGCGGGCTCAATCATGGCGGGGCTACAAAAGGGAAGGGAATATCATGAGTCACTGTTCTAAGATTCACTGATCGTGAGCTGTTACTCCCACCTGTTGGCATCGCCCGGCTTGTAGCCAGCAAAATCGTTGGTGCTGCAGCCGATGAACATGAGTATAATCATTCCGGCGGAGTAGACGAGCGCTGTGAAGGCGATCCAGGCGGCAACGCCGCGAGCCGTTGGCTTGCGCTTCAATATGAATAGACCTGAGATGACGATGCCAATGCCCATGACGAGGATGCCGCAGAAGGCGGCGATCATGTTCGCATCGTAGGTGGCCAACCGGAACTGCGTCTCCAGATACTTGGGCAGAAATGTATAAAGTCCCGCAATGGGCAGCAGGTGAAAGACGCACGAGGCTGTGCGAAACATGAGTATATCGTTGCTCAGCTGGCGGCGCACAGTCTTGGGGAAGTCTACAGAGGATTACATACATTACTACAGTTTTATATCAATCGTAGCTTCGCTTACCCTTCAGCTTGGGTTTCTCCTCCGGCTCGGGTGCAGCGGCGGCAATGGCGGCAGCTGCCTGCGTCTGCTGCTTGCCGGTCAGCTGCTTGGGAAACGAGAACATGGCAATGGAGGCGAGCAGCATGAGGCTGCCGATGGCAACGGGTCCCAGCCACCAGGCGCCGATCCAGCGCGGATCGCTGGCATCGAAGCCCGGATTGGCAAAGTTCACATACCAGCGCGTGCAGAAGCTGCCCACAATGAAGCCGGAGGCGGGGCCCAGGATGCGCATGCCGATAGTAACGGCCATGTACATGGGCGACTGCTTGCTGCCCACGTTGTCATCGATGTAGGGTATGCCCAGGGTGGCCACAGCCGTCTGCCCGATGCCCGAGCTGAGCAGGCTGCCAAAGAAGATGCAGAGCACGATGACCGTGATCTTGGAGTGCGAGGCTTGCTCCAGCTGGCGCTGCTCATTGCATTCGCTGCCAGCCAGTGTGCCGTTCCCGCCCAGCGTGCAGAGATTCGGATCTGTGGCATTGCTCCACAGGGGGGACGAGGCGGCGCTAACGGCCGGCGTCTGTGGCTGCAGGAACACGCTCGACTGCATCAGCTGCTCGCCGAAAATGAAGTGGGGCAGGGCACAGGCGAAGGCCGCGATGGAGAACAATACCATGCCGCAGGCGATCCAGCGCGGTCGGTGGCCACGTCCCGCGAAATAGGTGAGCAGCATCGCAGTGCTGATCTGGCCCATCTCGCTGGCGCTGAGCAGAAAACCCGTTGTCTTCGACTTGATCTGGAAAAGCTTCTCGATGGTGGTGATCACGGAGACGAAGTACGTCATGTACATGCCCTGCAGTATGTAGGCCAGCAGGAACACCACCATGAACACGTGCGTCGAGGCAAAGCGGCGCGCCCATCGTGGCCGGCAGCCAAAGAGTCCGCAATTGGAGCCCTCATCGCCGCCGCCATTCAGATCCGAATCGAAGTCGGATTCTTCGGACTCACTGCCGCGTGCCCCGCCACCGGCACCGCCGCCAGGAGGCAGCTTGTAGCCGCCAGTCAGTGGTGCCTGCTCGTGCGCATACTTTTCGCGCAGACTGTGCCCGTTGCCATTGTTGTTGCTCAGCAGCCCGTTCTTCAGATTGTTGATGTCCTCCGACGCCTTCCACTCGTTGTTGTTGCTCGGCGTGCTCTCGTACAGCATTGTCGTTGGCGCGGTGGGCGTGGCGGTGCTCCCGTCGCCCCCATTCGTGCTGTTGTGCTGTGCGAGCAGCGGCGTAAAGGCCTGCGTCGAGTCACGCCTGCCGCCCCCGTTCTGATGGTAGCCATTGCCATTCGTCTGCTGCTGTTGCTGCTGGTGGGCGTGGCCATTGCTGGGCCTCGACTGCTTCTGTTGTCCATTGGCTGCAGCTGCTGCTCCCACCACAGGCGGCGCCTCAACATCGCCTTGACTCTTGCTCATGCTGCACGTTGCGTATACGTAATGTGGGACGCGCTCGCTAACTGCTGCTACTTTTGCTACAACCGATCGTTAATTAGAGCACTCTCTTTACTTGCAGTTCCTTATCTGCTGCTTCTTATTCTGTGTGATTTTTAGTGACTCTGGGATATTTGTTGTTCCATTTTACCTAAGCAAGTGGCGGCTGCAACTACATTAGAAATGCATCAAAGGCAATTCTTCTGCTATCCTGTGTGGTGTGAGTTGAGTGTGTGCGCTTTATTGTTGTGCCTGGCCAGCAACGAGGTAGTTTCGGTTGTTGTTCGCGTTGTTTGTTGTCAGTTACTTCAGTGTTGCAATATGGCAGTGTTATCTAAGGGAGGAAAACAGATCAGAAGAAAAAGAAATAAATAATTAAAATAAAATGATTATCTTTAGAAAAAATTTAATATAATCGAAAAAATATATTTTTTCAGAAATATAAATTGCTTATATCAATATCAGTCGATTTCTACACACGCCACACGTGAGAATTGCATAGAAAGGTCTTTTGCACACTCGCGCCTTTTGGCTAGGCAACATAATATTTAACGCCAGATATATTTACATATAATGATAACTTAAATGCTTTATCTATTTGTCTATATTTACTCTAATACACTCAGATAATCGGAATTCAATTTTATACTGTGTAATTACAATGTATTCGGTAATCGATTATAAATCATTCAATTTCAAATTCACTAAACGGCAAATCATGCACGTTCGCTGTGGGGCGTTAAAATCAAACTAAGCGAACGGAGCTCAAACGCAGACTGCAAAAAGCGCAACGGGGGAAAAATATAAATATGTATAAATAAAAAAAAAAATTGTAGCACAAAAAACCAATTAAAAGCGCGTTCAAAGTAAATACTGGAAGACGGCAGCAGCAGCAGCAGCAGTCGCAGTCGCTGTGACTGAGACAGCGGCTTATCAGCTCATGCACACACACACACACACACTTATAGATATACATATACACAGTGCGTCAACAAAACGCAGCGCACAGCTACAGCTACAGATACAGTTATATATATGCATATATAGTAACACAATTCGTACAGTCCATATCAAAAATAAAAAACAAAAAAAGTAAAAGCAAAAGTTGCAATACATTTTTTTTTGCCGAAAAAAACGTTTTTTTGTGATAAGCTTTCAAGGTTAATTGATTAGAAACTTTTGTTTATGGCTTCTAATAATAACACATGGTATACTGCAAAGGAATTCCCAATTGAAATTATTGCAATTTTGGAGAATGAGAGATGCCTGGAGAGAAGTCATCCAATCACTATGAATATATAATATAATGATATAATGCAATAATTTTCAAAAACATTTTAAGGCACTAGGAACAGTTTCCAGTTTCAGTATATAAAAATATATACAAAAAGCAAAGATTAGATCATTAATCAAGATTGGCACATTTGAATGCTGAACTATATATAATATAGGTATAATCATTTTATAAATTTCATTAACTGCTTACAAAAGCAAATATTAAAACAGTTTGTATAAATCGCATTTGGTTCGTATCTCTCGCTGACATGTATTTTTTTTTTATTTCTTTTGCTTTTTGTCTATTTTTGTTTTTGTTGTCAACAATTTCAATGTCAGCCAAAAAAAAAAAAAAAAAAAAAAAATATTCGCAGCTATTTTAGAGAGTCTCAACTTTTTTTATGGCCCCACTTCTATGCGACATGTGCATATAGCATGTGGAATATCATTTGGAATAGCTATTATAATATGTATAAAAAGCTATGACACAATAAAGTTCTGCTACACCTCGCTCCCCTTTCATCCTCTTGCCTATCTTTCATATACTTTCTCTGCCTTTCTCTGCAAACGCAGTTGCTGCAGTCCAAATCTTATCGAAATAACTGAGCTGATAAAGAAAATGAAACTTGCTACGCTCGAGTGCGAAAGAGATGGCAGCTAGATGAAATGCAATCATAAATGGAATGTACAGATACAAACGCTTTATGCTACATAATATACTCGTAATATCTAGAGAGCTCATTATATGGCTCTATATATATACATACATATAGTACGTGCAGGCCATGCTGTTAGAATTTGATATCTTTTTGGCAGCTATAGGGTATAGGTTAAGTCGTTCTGCTGAGAGTTTTAAAGCAATTGCGCATTTTACGCAAATTTATTTTGCGTTCTTCAAATTTGAACATTTGCTAAAGACATTTTAGCTTTTGCTCTGCATAATTAGAATTTGTTTGTCTATGTTAAGCCTATTGATTCATAACATAGATTCCAATGTTAACATTAACAGCGCAGCCACTGCAATCGCAAGCAGACCAAGATTTGACTGTTAAAAAGTTTCATTCAACTAGATTCATCTAGAACTAAAATTCGTTTGCTTAATTTATGTTCTGTTTGAGCTGTAAGCTAAGCCTCTAACTGCAATTTGCTGATTACACTTGATAGCAAACATTTAAAGTGATATGAATGCCCCATTCGCTGCAGTTGCAGTTGCAATTGCAGTTGGCAAATATGCAAAGCAGATTGCGTTGCCTCTGCTGCAGTTGGCCTATGCACTTGGCCAAGAAGGGCTGACTGGTTGGCTGGTTGGCTGGTTGGTTGGTTGGTTGGCTGCCCAGCTACCAGTTCCACACAGTTGAGAGGAGAGAATGCTGCCCAAGTACCTGACCATTGAGGACAGGTAAAGCACATTGAACTCATCCTGGTCACTGAACGAGCCGCAAGCTGCTCGTGCTGCACGCTTTAAGCAACCTATACATGAGTGTGTATGTGTGTGTGTGTGTGTGTGTTTGTCTATTATTATTTTAAATTTGGTTTAATTTGTTGGTTAATTGCTGCTCAATTTGTATTGCTGCTTACATAAATGTGACACTTGATATAGACACTAGATGGGTTTGATTTGCTGCTGATTTGCGCATGTCAATCATAATCAATGCAATTAAAGCCTTTTACGAAACCTAGCCACAGTCACTCACATACCCTGGGTATCCATTTCAATTGAGCTGGGTGATAAATATTGATGCCTAGAATCGATATATCGATGGCAAATGCGTTAACCGGCGTGCTGCAGTTGAAGGCGGTTGACGACGACGCTGGCGACGACGACGGCGTCTTAGTGCTTGCCACACTCAGTGCGTGTCGTTTTTCCGGTTTTTGTGGCCACGCCAGCTGCTCAGGCAGCGGCAGTTGGGGGCAGCAGCCAAGTGCTTGCCACATCTTCCGTCTTCCGTCTTGGCCAAGACGACGTAACTGCTGCGGCTGCGGCTGCTGCTGTTGTTGCTGACTAAGTTATTACGCGATCTTGTTTGGCTCAGGTGAGTGTGTGTGTGTGTGTATGTGTGCGTGTGTGTCTGTGTGTGCATTTGAATTGCGCAAGCGCAACTATTGCAAATTGCATGCCAAGCAGCTCAGCTGCCGCTGCATGCCAACATGCAACAAACCAGACACACAGGCAACACCGACAACACCGACAACACCGACAACAGCGACAACAGTTGCTGACAAGCGGCAACAAGTGCCAGCCAACAAAAGCCACAGTAGAAAGCTACAACAACAATTGTTGTTGCCGCTTAGAAGCAGCATTGAAAGTAAATTGCAGACTAGCATAAAGCAAAAGCCACAACAGAGTCAAAGTCGAAGTCAAACTAAGAATTGTTGTTGGCAGCCCCAGACCCAGCCCCAGCTCTAGCCCCAGCCCAAGTCGGAGTCGGAGTCAGAGTCGTGGTTGGAGTCCCAGCGCTGGCCATTATCATGCTACCATCTTCATAATGAGCTAAGTTGAAAAAAAAGTGGTTTAGCCACATTTCACTTTTAGCATAGAAATCATTTAGAACTTGTCTGCAACTCTTGCTTTATGTGGCCATTTATTATTAGTCGAGAAGCTCACCAAGTTTTTTCTATTTTCTATTTTGTTGAAAATGACTATGGAAATGTATTCTATTTTAGAAATAGAAATGGGCAGATGGCTTGAGACAACATTTTGGGTATATGAGAGAATATTAAAGAAAATCAATTATTTTTGCGGCGTATAATATAAAAAGACGACAGACCCGGAGCTAAGCAGTACAAAGCAGTAATAGTTCAATCTATAGAAAAACTCATAATGGTTTTGCTAAAATATATAGAAGTAAGTATGATATATCATATCCTTTATTATATTATTATTATATAAATTATATGTAGCCCTTTTCGTCAGTTCATCGTATCGAACTCAGAGCTAAGAGCTAATTTTTGGAATACAATTAAAAACCAAATAGATCAGTGCTCTTTTCACAAAAGTCTATTATAAGAATCAATATATAATTAATTATAATTATTTTTTTTTTTACCATAATGACTAAGAGTAAGACTAAGGAACAGCTTTCAAAAGCATGATACGTTCATATATACATATATAGATATTATTTTTCAATTAGTTAAAATTATAAACAGCTTGAATCACCTGCAGCGTAAGCAATATATATACATATATATATTTATAACTATAGTAGGAAATAGGATAGTCATAGGGCAAAGTAGCTTCTTAAATGCGTCGCATTCCCTGCTCAACTTCATATTTGAGTGGCTATCAGCAGTTTTGTTTTGTTGTAGTTGTTGTTATTGTTGATATTATTATCTTTTTTTTCTCTGGCTTTGTCGCCTTGACTTTGACCTTCACACCGAAAGCCGAAAACCGAAATTAAAACCAATTCAACACACAACAACAAAGTTGAGCGGTTTATTTTGTTGCGAATTTATTTTGCTTATTTATTTATTTTCATTTTGAACAAAACTTTAGACCGACGCGTCGGAAGCAAGAGAATGCCAAAAAAAAA